CCCCCAGGATCATCATGACCACATGCACTAGATCTTGCGTGATATCATTCCACGCATCGTCGTTAGCATTGAGATTATTATGTTATGCGCCGTAGTCGAACTTAGGTAAATGCGAAAAATGATGCAGTCTCATTGACGTTGACATGCGAGCTACAATTTGCAATAAGTCGCAGTAGTCTGTGCTCAGTTGCACTTCATTTTGCACCTTGTTGATGGCGGAACTACAGGAAGAAATGCATTGCCGACATTACGGATGGCGAGGTTGAAGCTGAAAATACAGCTCTAAACTGCAAGTATGGAGTAATACAATCATTTTTTTTTTTTGCCACTCAATGCATTTATTATTGTATCTATAAGACTGGCAAGAACTGGTGCCAGCAACTAAACGCGGGGTTTCAATAATAGTTATGAACATTTCATGACAGACCAATTCTGAATCAAGAAATTTTCCAACGACATAAATTAGTCTGACGCTGATATCAGACTAATTTTGAAGATAGACTAATTACTGTAAGCACTGAAGCGACATTTACCACGTTATGTTGCGCATGTCGTTGCTGCAACATAAAATTGAAGAGCAAGTTTTCTGAATTGTGATAACGCGACGTGATGGACGAGCTCAATGCGTCCGGCACCTTCGAGCAGTTGCTCGACGATACAGCGCCCACGATATTGGATTTCATAGACGCGCTTGAAGGTATGGACGCGAAGGCCGACGCGCTACCGATGGTCTCAAGGGTGCAGGTGATGGAAGATATTAAACCGAAGACTAGGACCAAGTCGAATACATGGAGGCAACGTCAGAGAATGGAAGTGCTGAGACTGCGGGACGAAGTGAAACACCTCGATACGGAGCTAAAGAAGATAAAGCTGGCAGCAGGGGTGCGCTCCACTGTACCGCTAATAGAAGGAGTCACCATCATTGCAGCCGCTCAAAGAAAGCGACCGGCAGTGAAAAAGCTACTAGGAGAATCGTGGCAAGATGCCGCTTCTCGTGAGTCACTGGCTCGTCAAATAGCGAGCGTCGACAACGAACGATTACACAAGGTCTTGCACACACAGGTGAAACATGCTCGGAAACTACATCGGATGATAACGCAACAAATGACTACAACCGTTGTGGCTCAAGCGCTTGGATGCCGCCCTGCATTTTGTGGAAAGGAAGGTCGTCCCCCAACAGATAATGATGTGGTGTTCCAGAAGCTGCTCGCTGAAATGGACGAACATCGTGGAAACGTCAGCAGCATTTTCACGTCAGATACAACTGACCAAAAGCTCAGTAAGAAAGAAGGTCACGTATCGATCCATTGCGTTCGTGGGCTGCAGGTGCAGCTTGTGAATAGGTATACCCTGCCGTTTAGTGTGGAAGCCACAGAACGAGCGATTTGGCACGTTTTAACGGACAAGGAGAGCAACGACAAGAACAGCCGAGTGGCTTACAACGAGGTACGCTGGCTTGCTGAGAATATAGTGCTTCGCGTAGCCCTAACATGAACTTGCATGCTGGTGGTACAGTTGTTTGAGTTTGACAGTAGCACCACCTTACAGAGTGTACGTACATTTATCGTGGCGGGTCCATATGAGCTATGCTTTCTCGTACGCAAGGGATGCCGCAAGTATCAAAAGGGCGATCGGATGCACTTCGTGGTGCATGAAACATCTATCGTTAGTACTCGTTTTGGTGCCGGCGTATCGTACGACGAAGTTGTATGGCGCACTGTGGTCCAGGGAAGAGATCGATCTGGAATTCCAACTGCGATCATTGAAACGCATGTGCTGGCAACGTTTCCGTCATATAAGACACTCAACTGTCTCCCTCCAGAAGGTCTCAAAGGCTTCAGCGACTCGTTGATGCGATTTAATCACAAAACTGAAGACGTGCTCATCAGCAACGTTACAAGTTGAAGGCCTTTTTCAACGTGATGCCAAGCATTTGGCGGGGAGACCGCCGCAGAAGTGCGCTCTCCTTTGTCTTCGGCCCAGCCGAGGACACGGAGATGCCTGTTTAGAGCATCGTGGCAAGACGCTGACCCGAACGATTGCACCTTGCGCAATTTCACACGACGATACTTGCCTATTTTATCAGCTTGCCTGTAGGGGCCTCTTTCGCTACCAACCAGGTCGATTTAAGTGCTGACAACACTACAAAAGCTCGCGAAGGCAGGAGCTTATAAGAAGCCATGCTGGAGCGAGCTTTTCCCGGCTTCTTGTAAGCTGAATCCACCTTCTGCAGTCTTCAAGTCCTGTCCTACTTCTAGTTTTCGTGTCGTTACATAACTTAGCGACGCTATAATACCATGCTGGCTGTACATGCCAGACTTGTCAAAGAGGGCCACAATAATGCCGTGTCACTTTCCTCAAGCTTGTCGGTCGTGCTACACAGAGCTCGTGCACAGTTTCAAGTCCACCCTCCACATAGACGAGGCAGGAGTATCGACATCTCATGACTCCGATCCCTGTTTCTTAGTTTGAACAAATCTTTTGTTTTACTGAAGGAAGGGGTGAATTACAGCGCGGCCAATGCTGCGTGGATGCATTTTGTCGAACAACTGAATTTCGCTTGAGGTGTCCAAGGGCAAGTGGATGAAGTCCGAGCTATTCCCATCCCGCCGGAATTGATTCGTGAGCGTTTCGGCGCTGTTACTTTAGTCATTCGCCAATTTGCCTCACTCAAGACACGGCCCAAGTCTCTGGTGACGCACGAAGTAATGTGTTCGAACGAGAAGAAGGAGGTGCCTCCCTCAGTGCCAGCCAAGTGGTACGAGAATTGTCTATGGCAGCCTAAGCTCATGTACGCCATCGCCAACGTGCAGCAGTCGTCGGTCGCCATCTTTTTGGCCGTGTACTATCAACAAACTGCTGGTTTCTCCAAGGTGCAGATCGGTGTGCTGCAGACGCTGCCGTGCATCTGCGCAATGGTGTCGCCACCGATTTGGGGCGCGGTGGCCGATTACATTCGTAACCAGCGCGCGGTGCACAACTTCTGTATCATCACGGGCGGTCTGCTAATGTTCTGCATCCAGTACTTCTACTGGTCGTACTACTGGACGCTCGCAGTGCTGGTGCTGGCCAACTTCCAGTCGATGCCCGCCGGTTCCCTCATGGACCATGCTGTGCTGGACATGATTCACAAAGTTGGCGGTGAGTACGGCAAGCAGAGACTATTTGGTGCTGTCGGATGGGGATCGGGCGCGTACATCACCGGTCTAGTCGTCGCTGCTGCGGGTATTTCGTGGGCGTTCAACATTAGTCTCATCTTCATGTTTGCCTCGCTTCTGGTGCTCCGTACGATCCCGCCGGTCAAGCACGGACACCATGACGAAACGCACTCTACAATGGAGAAGGGTGGCAAGACTGCGCGCCAGCCGTCGTTTGCTGACAACATGCGCCGTATTTGCGAGAAGAAGGATGTCATCATGCTACTTCTTGTGGTGTTTTTCATGGGTCTCATGTACGGTGTGCTGTCAAGCTTTCTGGCGCTCAATTTGTTCAATTTGTCGGGCGGAAACGCGCAAATTGTGGGCATTGCTATCATGTGCGAAACCCTATCGGAGCTACCAGCTTTCTTCTTCTCACACACGATTATCCAGAAACTAGGTACGGTGAAGGTGTTGCTGGTCTCCATTGGGGCTTATGCTCTTCGCATCACGTACTACGCCGTCATGACGAACGCTTGGAGTGCCATTCCGTTTGAGTTTTTGCACGGATGCACGTTTAGTCTGGCGTGGGCTGCCTGTACACAGTACATCTACGCTGCTGCCCCCAAGGGCTGCGAAGGAACTGTCATGGGGCTTTTAAACGCAACGCAGAACGGTTTGGCTCGTGCGGTAGGCACGATGGTTGGTGGGTTCTTCTACCAGCACTACGGTGCTCGGGTTATGTGGACCGCCACGGATCTGGGTGTGCCTCTGGCTCTTATATTCCTGTCTGCGTTTGCCTACCTCAAGAATGACTACGAGGAAGTTCTCTCGGGCGAAGAAATCGAGAAAGAGGAGTCCGAGATGTTTTCGCCTCACCACCACGCCAAGGCTATCCTGTCCAGCGGTCAGTCCTACGACGAGATCGAGTAAAACAAATGAACTTGTGTATTTGACGAGTCAATTACAATGTAGTACCTTGCATTTGCTACAGTACCAGGCTGCATAGATTTGTAATACGGTTGAATTCAACACCGATACCTACAAGAGTTAGGTTTACATGTTCCAAATTCCAAATTACTATGAAACTATTGCTCAGCACGTCATCGTTTCAACTGCATAATCATTTACCAATAGCCTACCAATAGCAGCAGAATATCAAAAGGGTGATTTGGTGTCTTATACCCTGCCAGTGCCCACATCGCATAACTCCGAGACACCCAGAACTCCTCAAAGATGGACGTGACTGAAGTGCTAACGCTTCTTGACGCCATTGACAGCAACGAAAGCGACTCCAGCTCTGCTACATCGTTCGTTGAGAGCGAGCATGGCAGCGATGGTGTTCCAAATTCTTTACCTCGGCAACCGCAATTGAAGGCAAAAAAGGACCGCAGGCGGAAGGAAGGACCTGTGAGGTACACAACAAGTCTCCAGCGTCGCAAGAAGGCAGAGCTGAACGCTCTGAGAGAAGAAGCACAGCAGCTTAACGCTCAGTTGGACAGACTGGTGCGATCTCGTATTAGCCGCATCGGAATGGTATCAACACAAAACCCAAATCCCAATACATGGCGCAGTCTTGCTATGATCGAGAGTGAGGGGCGTGAGCGAGCTGAACGCACCAACCGAGAGCTGAAGGCAATCATGGCAAACCAGGTCAAGGTGTATGCTTCGATTCGCAAAATACTCGGACGAAATGATTTGCTGCAGGTATATAGCACGTGGTCTCCTTTACCTTATTGATCTACAGTACTAACACTACGCGTTGTTTGCATTGCTGTGTCACTTACAGGGAATGGATCTTGTATTCGAGGCCCAGCCAACGTCTGACCGACCTCTGCAACAGCTCGATTTCAGCGATGCCATTCTGGCTGAACTGTCAAACAGCTTGGGGGGATTGCGCTTACAAGCGAACAATGTACTGCCAGCCCTGGAGATGAAGCCCTCAATCATCTGCAGTAGTCAGGTCAAGCAGCTCCAAACTGGTGGCAACTGCGTCGAGACGACGTCGATCACTCCACTGACATGTCCGATTCAGGAAGCGGCTACAATTCTGTGGCATCATATCACGACGAAGAAGAACAAGGACACCCAGAAGTCGTTCCGCTTCGTAAGTCACTGCATCGTGCGAAAACGTTTGCTGTCTACTAAAGCAATTTAAATCCGTTGTATTCTGCGTGAATTTAGGTCCGAACAAGAAATCCCAATTCGGTTGAGAGGAATTGCATGGCTTCACTTCCTGATGGGAACAACTTGCTCGTAAATCTCGACGGCGTGAATATTGTTCGCATGTACGAAGAAGGGAATCAAATCGTCCTCGTCGGATCAACGACCTGGTTCCTGCCGACAGGGGGTCTTGAATTTGAGGATCACCACTGGACGATCATTTCGCCATCTCCAAGGAACCCGCAGCACTCTTCCGTGGTTCGCAGTTGTTACCAGCTACAAGTAAAACGGCTGGATTCAGCATCAGTTCTACCAGTGGACTTTGCGCACGTTGAGGAAGTGGTAATGAAGTCAATTGGGGGGAAGCTACGAAACGTGCTTCAATTGCAGCAAAATGTGCTGCTGGAAAAAGCTGACCCTATCATTAGTAGTGCGGAAGTTTAGGAATATTTGTACGTGAAGTACATAATAATGAGAACTAATACAAGACCTCTTCTTTAGGTAATAATTATGGCGACTGCTTGAAACACAGCAAAGTATCTTACTGGAGCACTCTTGTTTCCAGCGATTGAGCTGCGCTTAACGTGAATGTAATAATACTGCATTAGTAGTAAATCTCAACAAACCTTCAGATATTTCTGTAGTATTGATGATGACATACTAAGTACATGTAACACGCTGGACTTGATATATATTCAGAAATTGATGCGTACGCAGGAGATGATGACACATTAATCCCGTCGCTTTCGCTGTTGCAGTGCTTGGTCCAGTAAAACGTTTTCAATCATTTCGTGACTGGCAGAAATGTTGGCAGCTGTGGAGTTCAGGACAAATTCAGTCAGAGCACCCGTCTTGGCATCGTCGTTCAGCGACTGATCGGACAGATCGGGGGTAATGATGTAGCAAGTCTGCACCAGCGTGAAGTCGTCGTCTGTAGTGCTATCGTCGCTATGAGCACGAGGCTTGATGACCACATACCCTTTCTCCTGGAAACGAATACCCGCGAATCGTTTGTTGGAGAACTCGAGAGGTATAATGTGCGAGCGCCAGACAATGACAACGCGGTCTTCCTCGATATAGCGACGGAGGATCTGTTTGACGTTGAACTCGGCTTTTGTATTGCTCTTGGCATCATACATATCCATGCCGAAGCATTCAACCATCGTATCCTCTGTCGACTCGATCGAACCGGCCGACTTGGAGTGATACCAACGGTACGGGATATCCGTCCCCTTAAAGTGCTGCCACACAGCCTCACCCGTAGCGTGCATGGCAAATGGAACCATCTTGTTGGCAAAGGTCTCCAAGTACATGCCGTTCACACCGTCGTGCATCTGAGCGTCGCTCTTAGGAGCTTCTGTGCGGCCAAGACCATTGGCCTCGAACACAGCATCAACTTCGCGGTACGAGGCCTCGACACCAGCCAGCAGGATCTCAAAGATCTTCGCGTCAGCACGAGGATCGGGTCGATGCACGCGGTTGGTGTGCTTCGTGCGCTTGTTGCTACCACACGACTCCATAGCACGCAGAACCTTGCGCTTCTTAAGGATCTGTTCCATGCTCTTGGCGATCTTGATCTGACCCTCGAGCACCATCTTCAGGCGAGCATTTTCGCGCTCCGCCTTCACGCGGCGCTGTAGTTGGCGTGCGCACATTTTCTCCCAGACGCGGGGGACTCCATCGTTAGTGGCATCGCAGTGGTGGCTCGCTGCCAAAACGTTGACTGACTCACAAACTTCTGCGTTGGCTCGACTTGCTCCCTTAATCTCCTGTAGCTTCTGTAGCTCCAACTCCATATCAACCACTTTCTGGCGGAGATATATCAGCTCCAATTTGCGCTCATCTCGCGCCTTGTTCGGGTTATAGCTCAGAGGTTTCTTGCGTACGTATGACTTCTTCTTTTGCGTAGGACTTGAGGTCTTGGCTGGATTGGTGAAAGCAGGTTGGGGAGGAGGGCAAGGGGCCACCTGGTGGTGCTTGAAAAGACGTTGAGAGAGCATCTTCGGTGTGGGGATGGCGGCTGACCAGCTCGTGTTTTTGGTCGCCTTGTCCGCTGGCGCAGGCAGCTCTGCGCTCAGATCGTCCAGCACATTGGCGGCCTCAGGGTCGTCAAGGGACGGGAGAGTGGGGATGTCATCACTGAGCTCGAGCGACTCCTCCAATGAAGATACTGAAGATTTCTGTTGCTCGTCCAGAAATGCCAGCGCCGCGGCCAGTGTCTCATCCGTCTCGCCTTCTAGCAGGAACGCCATCTCGCTGGTTCGACTTGTTTGTGGCGGTGCTGGTTGAATTGAATTATGCCATGTAGAAGACAAGACCCGTCGCTGTGAATGAGACTTCCAATCGTTGTGCTTTGATGAGCGAAAACTCTTGTGGGGATGGGCACTCAGAATGAAGGTCTCTCTCTGGTCGACCACCACATCAGTGACACACAAACTACATGTACCAGAACTACTCACGCTATTATTTATTTCGGCACTGTTTGTCGTTGACGCATTAAAACCACTAAGCAGGTTACTAGGCAAAAACCAAGTTACGAAAACATAGAATGTGTATTTACATGTAGTTAGTTATGCAGCAATATTATGCTACTCTTCCTCTAGGAAAGGAGCATCAAGCAGCTAGACTCGTTTCAAACTGGCGCTTGTTGAGCGCCTGGTCTAGCAGCACATTCTCTATGAGCTCTTGACTGGTCGTGGTGTTGGCAGCCACGACATTCAGCACGAACTCGGTGAAGTCGCCTGCTGCAGTCATGTCGATTCGACAGCCTGCAGCCATCTGCGGCGACACTAGACTGCACATTTGTAGAATGGTAAAGTCACCATGACCTGGGACCATCGACGTGGGGCGTCTCGTGACCACGTAACCTTTGTCCACGAAGCCAAAGCTGGAGAACGGCGAGTTGTTCGGGTCCAGAGCGTGTCCTATGGACACCCATACCACAACCTGCCTGTCAGTCTCCACAAAGCGTCTGATCACCTGCTTCACGCGGAAGTCCGCAGTGGTCGTCTTGCCCAGGAACTCCATAGTGAAGGCCTCCATAATAGTATCCGAGGAAGTCTCAATTTGCTAAAAGCAAAAACAGAACAAGCCCATCAACAGCAAATAGCGTTAGCTAAATACTCGCCACTTCAACACGATGCCACTCGGCTCGTACCTTCGTCGCGTTCTCGTACACCACACCGCGGTGTTTCTCGCTGCCTTTAAAATGATTCCACACGGCTGCGGTCACCGCCTCGTAGGTGAAGGGTAGCACCTTGTTGGCAAACACGTCGAGATACATTCCGCTAGCACCCTCGCGCATCCGTGCATCTCTAATAGGAGTGTCCAGGTTCAACAACCCGTTAGTAGCAAGGACAGCCTCCAACTCGGCGTAAGCAGTCTCCACACTCGTGAGAAGCGCCTCGTAAGTGTCCTTGTCCACTAAAAAGTCTAGGGTGCACCCTTGCGACGACAGGTCACCGGATGCCCCAACCACCTCAGCACAGCCAGACACTTGCTGCCGAGCCCGCTTCTGCAGCAATATTTCCATGCTTTTTGCCAATTTCACCTGGCTCTCGAGTACGAGCTTAAGCCTCGCGTTTTCGCGCTCGGATTTCTCGCGTCGGTGTTGCTGACGAGTGGCAATGTCCCTCCAGATGAAAGGCATTTTGGACGACGAAGCAGAAGGTTTCGAATAGGTAGTCGTCAACGCTTGCGATCGAGCGTCTGGCGGTGGTTCCGCGCTGCGGATTCCTCGGGCGCGTCGTCGATGGCGCATCGTGTCCAGGTCTCTCTCCATTTGCTCCACTTTATTTCTTAAATACGCCAGCTCATGCTTGCGTTCGTCTCGCGCTCGGTTTGGGTTTACCTTCACACGGCGCTTTGTTTTGGCCAAAGTCGTTGTCGGGCCTTTAGCTGCTCGAGAACTGCGCCGAGTCTGACCAGATACGTCGGAAGTCCCAACGTTCGCCACCATCGGCGGAACAGGCGATGATACTGACGACGCCGTTGCAGTAGTGGCCAGTGCAGTCGGCATTGCTGGCATTGGAGTCGAATCGCTGTCATGCTCCGACGAAGATGACAGCGTTCCCAGCAGCAGTCGGTCCAGCTCTGCGTCTAGTCGGACCTCTCCCTCGTCCCCAGCAGCGAAGCCTTCCGGAGACACAGTCGTCGACGAGGGCGCTGGGATTTCAAGCGCTGATTGAGTCGGCGAGAGGGCGTCCACATAGGAGAGCGCCGCCTCTAAGGCCTCCACTTCGTCGTCCCCAAGGAGCAGCGGCATAGCAGTTCTCGAATATTTTTTTGAAGTGTATGCTCAAACAAAAAAGGACAATAATTGTAATAACGATTCTGCGAGGACAATTATTGCCGTCTCTAGAGGATCGACTAAATGACACTACAAGAACCTTGGGACGACTGCCATAGGCAGTCAGTTACATGTGCCACAACAATGTTTCCTTCTACTGACGTTCATTGTTATTAATCCCGTCATGTACAAGGTGACTTCTGTCGGTTGGGCTGCAAAGACTGGTCCATCAGCATATTCTCAATGAGCTGTTGGCTGGACGTGATAGTGGCGAACATGAAACCAAGCACGAACTCGGTGAAAGTTCCTACCGTAGAGAGGTCGAACGAGCCGGCCTCAGACATTTGGGGTGAGACCAGGCAGCACGTCTGGAACATCGAGAAGTCGTCACGGCCCCGCACGCGCTTGCTAATGACGTAGCCCTTCTCACGGAAACCAAAGCTGGCAAACGGCGACTTGGAATTCTCAAGCGCCGACGCAGTGGAAACCCAGACTACCACCTGGCGATCCTCCTCAATGTAGCGCCGCACTACTTGCTTTACGCGGAAGTCAGCAGCCAAGTCATTTGCCATGAACTCAATAGCAAACATCTCTGCAACAGTGTCTGAAGATGATTCGACGTCCTAGAAGTTTGCAAATACATAAGCCCTATGTCAACAGAAAAGCTCAAGATCACAATTCAGACAAATCATTCGCGTTCGTACCTTGGAAAAATTTTCATACAGGTTCCCGCGGTGCTTCTCGCTGCCTCGGAAGTGGACCCACACCGCCTCAGCTGCCGTTTTGAAGTCGAACGGTAACATTTTGTTGGTGAAAATATCCACGTACATACCCTCTGGACCTTCGCGCATTTGAGCGTTGGTGCATGCTGTTTCCAGGTATTTGAGGCCATTAGCAGCGAGCACTTCGTCCACCTCGTGGTATGCTGACTCTGCGCGAGCAAGTAACGTGTCGTATGTATCTTTATCGAGAAGTAGATCCCACGTGGATCCCTGCACATCGCCGACAGCATCACTCACGACACCATTAAAGCCGGCTAGCTGCTGCCGCGTTCGTCTCTGCATCACCGCCTCCATACTCTTAGCCAGCTTAATCTGGCTTTCAAGGACCAACTTTAGCCTCGCGTTCTCGCGCTCCGCCTTCTCTCGTCGTAGCTGCTGAGTCGATGCCATGTCCCGCCAGACGGGAGGCATCCCTGCAGTGTCGACGATAGATCGTGTGGTGGTCGTGTTGTTGGTTGAGTCCTTGTTTTCAATGTATTGCTGGCGAAGAGACAGAAGTTGCTCCTCCATTTGCTTGACTTTGTTGCGCAGGTAGGCCAGTTCATTCTTGCGGTTGTCGCGGGCCCGGTTCGGATTCAGTCGCACCCGCTTCTTTGTCTTCCCACTAGCAACTTGCTGCGTACCTCCGCGGGAGCCTCGACGGGCATTTTCACTGCCATTATTGTTCACCTGGGTGCTGCTGTTAGCCACGACAACAGCGCTGTCCGTCGGGCTGCCTGCCTGCGAAGTTGCCACGAGGGCAGCGGGCTCAGTCTTCACACCTGTGCTCATGTTTGGGGAGCCCGACAGCCCCACTTCCAACAGCAAACTCTCCAGCTCTTCGTCCGCGATCACTCCGCCCTCTGCGCTGGTGGGCATCGAGGAAGATGACTGCAGGGATGAGACTCGGAAAGCACCATGGACATGCGGTATCACCGACCCGTCGTGTGAGAAGTCGTCCACGAAGGACAGCGCCGCCTCCAGAGCCTCCATCTCGTCGTCGTGCAGCAGCATGCTTGCGGCGCCTCTCGATGAAGAAGGGATTTTGGGATTTCTATGAACTCCTTTGATGAAAACCGTCTGGTCATCAAATCACCTGCATTTTACACAATCACACGAAGATGGCAACGAATGGCTGCACTAACTGGTTGAAGCTCAAGCTGATCAGGCTACTGCACCAAAATGAACGCCCGCAATGAGATTCGATGCAACTCAGCAAGAAGGAGGAACTCTTTGGGGTGGCAACGAAATGTTATAATACTTGTTACCTAGAATAATAGAATTCTTGATCGCTTACAGTATTCAAACTAGTCATTACTGAAGCATCCCCATTATTTTTTTTTTAATATCTCCGTATATTTCGCTTACAAATTTCAAGTATAATCCAGTCAAACCATACCGGTAACGTACGGTATGATTCTGATACCCAAAATTGTTTTTCCAGGTCAGTATTCATTTCACATCGAGGCTAGCGCACAGCGATGGAGGAGGATGACTCCAAGACGCTAGAGGAAGCGCTCTCTTTCCTCGCCGACTGCGAGACGTCAACGGAATGGCTACTCGGAGCCGACGCTGCGCTGGACCTAGCGGACCTGGGTCTCGATGATAATAGTGATAATCTGGACACGGACCTGGAACTACCAACGCTCACGGAACATCCGATTCCCGAGTTGGAAACAACTCCGCATCAGCAGATGACACCCCGCGAACCACCGACTTTGGATTCCACGCTTGCTCTCTCGTGCCGTGGTGGCAGCCCCGTTTTCTCCACAGACAGTCCAACCTCATTCACAAGCAGTCCGACGCTGCAGCCACAGAATCCCAAGGGTAAGAAAACCAAGCAGCCCCGCAAATACTCGAACCGCGCTCGAGATGCCCGACGAGAGGAGTTGGTATATTTACGCCAGAAAGTGAAGGATTTACAGCTCCAGTTGGACCAACTCCGCAGCACACACAAGCCTCAGACCGCTTCAGCGCAGTTTTCGTCCGTTGCGGCCCCGCCATCAGCGGTGGAGCCGACGGATGGCCCGAGGGTAAAGAACAAGCTGGCAGCCATGCGCGTCACCAAACTATCTACTGGAACACCTTCTGCCACCTTTTCGTCGGTTGCGGCTCCTATGGGGAGCACCGCATCACCAGCGCACCTGGCCGCAGTGTGGGGGGACATGGCACAACGCCAGGCACTGGAGAGACAAAAGGCTGAACGCGAAAATGTGCGACTAAAGTTGGTGCTGGAGAAGCAGATCAAGGTGGCAAAAAGTCTCGAGCGCATTCTCAGAAAGCGCCAAAATGAACGAGTAAAGTATCCGCATGCCTCGTGATGAGAGGTTGTAGTCTATCCGAGCTTTACTGACATATTCCTTGATTTAAGGACATTCTTCAGGTCTTGGGTGGACCGAGCAAACGGATTCGCCGAGTATCGCCCGTACCGGGACCGGATGCGGCTCGTGACGACCGCGCAGATTTTGATATGCTGCTCTCTGGGATCGAGAAATCTCGTCAGGAGCTCGATGTGGTTTTCGAAGCCAATGGATTGGGACGCATGGAAACGGCTCATCGCACAGCAAAGATCGAGCATGATGCAACTCGGGGTATGGTGATGGAGATCTACGCGAACAAGGTCATGCCGTTTGGCATGCCCACGACGGGGAAGGCAGTGTGGCGTCATTTTGCACACTCGATGGACCACATGCCTCATCGCACGTACTACGAGAAGCAACCGCTGCATATCGAAACAAGTGACGACACCGTAGTGGAACGCTACGGACTGGAGATGACCGACGGTCATACGAATGGAGATTTCCACGTGAAGCACATTATCCGGCGGTATGTGGAACAGGATCGTATCATTGTTGTGTGGCGTACGATAACGGATACGGTGGAATTCTCGGCCGAGCCAACACCAGGTATCCGCTTTTTGGAAAAGGGCTACATCGTGATCAAGCCTCCCGCTACAGGTCAGGAGGACTGTACGTTGATGCAGACATGCTACATTATTCGCCCCGAATTTCGCGATCGTAATGGACCTGATCAGTCGCGCAAGGTTGGCGCACTCACGGACTTCGTACTGAGTTCCGTGACTGGTAGTATCAGTGCGAGCCACCAGATGATCGAGAATGTACTTCTCAGCGGGGCTCTCAAAAAGCACATCTAACGGATCGCTTGTTCCATTGCTGTCATCTCACTCGTCTCGAAATGGGAAAATAATCCTGAAAGTAACATAAAGCTCACCAAGTCACGATAAACGTTGCCGTTCTGGTAACGTTAATTACAAAATGTGTTGTACAAAGTTTCGTACCAATCGTCAACCGTAGTAAGCCTGGCTGGTATGAAGCTCCGTGTCCTAATGACTCCACAGTCTAAAAGAGTTGAGTGATTTCCTGTCTTGCAGTTGCTACAGGAGTTTTTCTTCAACGGCGCTCTCCTGGTTTGTCACCTGCGTCAACGCATTTGGTTCAGGTCGGAATCGGAGCGCTCCATCCAACAGATAGTTCTCAATCATTTGGTGACTGGAGCTAATGGTGTGTGAAACAGAGTCCAACAAAAAATCCGTTAGAGTGGTGAGAATGCGCTCTCGGTCAGCAACATGACCGTAAATCTCCGGGCGGAGAACGTAGCACGTTTGTATTAGGGCGCCTCGGCGGCCACTAGCATTCGGAAGAGCCTTGACCACAGTAAAACACTTCTCATGAAGGCGTACACCTTTCGTGGGCTCGGCAGAAAGCTCGAGCGCCTCGGAATACATGGGCCACGCGATGACAACCCGGTGAGGCTGAACAAACTTCCGGCGGATCTGACGCACTCTGAAGGCGGCAGTGGCATTGCGGCTACCAACGAGCTCTAGACCGAAGCTCTCCATCAACGTATCGTCCGTTGTTTCCGTCTTCTACGTGGCAACAGAAAAAAAATCAAGAATCAGAACTCATTACGACTAAGCTCAGCACCACAAGAATTGAGGCTACCTTTAGTTGCTTCTGATAGACAAAACGCGATGGGATGTGGTCCATGGAGTGAACGAAATGCTCCCAGACTGCGTGGCTCGTAGCTTCGACGCTAAACGGAACGACCTTGTTGGCGAATATCTCCATCACAGTTGTCCCGTTCTCGCGCCGCACTTGGGCATCCGCGTACGTTTTCTCCATGCGAGCGAGCCCGATTGCCTCGAAAACAACGTCCACTTCGTCCAGCGCAGTCTCCAATTCCTTCTCTAGACGAGCAAAAATGGCCGCCTCGTCCTCTTCCTCTGTCGATGTAGGCTTACGGTGCTGCAAACTAGTTAGATATTTGCCCTGAATGGACTCCATTACCTACACGTTCGTACATACCAACCCGGCCACAGCATTGTTAGCAGGAAAATCTTCACGTGCCCTCACAACGTCGGAGTTCAACTCACCCGTAAGCTGGTGCGCTTCGTCAGCATCTTCTCGAGACTTTTGGCCATCTTGATTTGGCCCTCGAGGATGAGTTTCAGTCGAATATTCTCCAGTTCGACACGGCGACGCTCCTGGTACTGGCGTGCTGCAATCTCAGTCCAAACGGGCCCCATCGCCGCGTCCTCCTTCATATCTTCAGGAGATAATGGCGGCTCACTCGTGATGGCATGGCCCTGCAGAGCAGCGAGCGCGAAGGCGCCCTCGGTGAACGTTTGCGCCTCTCCTAGAGGCGCGGCTCTCGCGGGTGCAGGCGCAGGCGCAGCCAATGCCCGACGTTGCGAGAGCTGAAGTGTACGCAATCTTGCCTCCATCGTCTGCACCGTCTTTCGGAGATAGATGAGTTCTTCTTTGCGTTCGTCACGCGCGCGATTCGAGTTGTGCGAGGCGGTTTTACGCTTCTTACCCGTGCTCGAAGGCGCCTTCTTCTTGCGCTGCGGCTGCTGCTTGGCAGTAGACATGGGAGTCTTCTTAACGGGGCTACTGGTAGCGGTCGTCAGCGCAGGTGTCACGGCGGGGGAGACCTCTGCACTGAAAGTGGTGTTACTACTTGCTGGGCCTAGATCAAGTGGAATCGACATCGGAGCGTGTGCCGCTTCGTTGGTCGACAGGCTGAGGTCGTTGCGGTTGGCAGACACGGGGCTGTGGAGCTCATCGTCAGACGGAAGCAACAGGCGCGAGATCGCAGCGTCATAATCGTCGTCCTGGCAATCGGCCAGCAAGGCAAGCGCCTCTTGCATAAGCTCCTCCTCCTCCTCAATCTGCCGCTGCTCCATGGCCACAGCGGAGTCGGAGCTAGCCGCGAGGCAAGCAGGCTCGCACTGCACGATGTGTATCGGAAGAAGAATTGAGCTTCGAGAGGCTGGGGATGCGTTCAACGCCGGTTGGCTGAAAAGCAGCAAAGTAACACCGGTTTATGCGCACAATGCACCAGCTGGTTCCAAAGGCAAGTTGAGTGGTGGGGGGGATCTGCTTCCCTGCGATGACAGACGCTTGTCTTGGCTTTTGTAGGCACTGTATATCGGATGACTGTTCCTGCTGAAGCCTGAACCCGATCCACTGTGATACTGCAACGTATGCTCCTTGTGGGAGTGTGAGAGGTTTATCAAGTCCGTCAACATGACTCTGCTGCTGCCCGACGACGACGCGAACTTTGAGGCGCTGGACGCCGCCCTGAGCTTCGTCGATGCCTACATTTCGTCTCCAGCGGCGAATGGCGAGGCGGAGTCTGTGCAGCAGCAGGATGGGTCGTCCTCGGACGACGCGATGCTGGGAGACGAATTGGACGAGTTGCTACGAGCGACGCTCTCGCCGTCGCCGTCAACAAGCTCCACGTCGGGCGGCGAGTTTACTTCGGCTGAGACGCAGCGAGAGCAGCTCGTGCTGCCGTCGCCGCTGGCGCCAATGACGACCAATCTCAAGGCTCCCGACGTTGTAAAGGTCAAGGAGAATGGCCGTCTTCGAGTGCCGGGCGGCTGCCGGAAGTCACATTGCCAAGCGGTGCCCGACACAAGCGAGGATAAACCCAAGAAACGGATCAAGGTAAACCCGAATCGGGCTCGCAATGAGCGCAAGAATGAGCTAGCCTACTTGCGCAACAAGGTCAAGCAAATGGAGACGGAGCTGGGCGAGCTGCACCGTCATCACCGCATCGACAACAACTGTGCGCTAACGGAGCAGACTGAGGCAGGGCAGTCGAATCAATCCGTACTAGCTCTCACCGGAGCCAACAGTACCGACGTCCCACCATTCTGGAGGGACATGGCTACGCGGCAAAAGTTGCGGAGGGAGAAGGCAGAACGCGAGAATGCACGCCTAAAGCTTGTTCTGGAAGGTCAGATCAAACTAGCACGAAGTATGGAAGCGCTCCTTCAGAAGCGTGCGCGGCAGCAGGTTTCTGAGTGCGCAGGCCACCTCGGCAAGATCGGAGCACAAGGTCGCACGTTGGACTTTTTGGCAGACAAGAGAACTTTTGACGCACTACTGACCAGCGTTGACGCCGCTTATCATGAAGTGGATCAAGTGTTTGCTACCAATGGGCTTATCGACTGCGAAACACCAAACCACGACGCGCGTATGCGCGAAGGTGCCAACGGCATGTACCTCGACATCAACAGCACTAAGCTGCTACCGTTTAGCAAGGACACAGTGGGCGCTACGGTGTGGAACCATTTTAAGGGAACCGAGAAACACCGCGGTAACCTATACGAAAAAGCCGCTAAGAAGCTTGATAACACAGACGGCACGGTGATGGAGGACTTCAAGATGGAATTTATTGGGAAGACGACGCGAGCGGACTTCCGCGTGAAGCAGGTTTTGCGGCGGTACATCGAGGCTGAGCGCCAGGTCGTGGTGTGGGTCACGAGTGTACACTCTCTAGACGAGGGGAAGACTCGGCCATTTGCGGGACTGGGCTTTGCGGAGAAAGGATATGCGGTCATTAAGCAGCCGAAATCGCAGGCGCTGCTAAAGGCTGGCTTTACGATCCTGCAGATGTGCAGCCTCGTCGTTCCTCAGAAAGCTGAGAGCTGTATCCGGGACGCGACATCTGTCGGTGCCTTCACCGAGTTCGTGCTGAATGTCATTGTTGCGAACACCACGGTCAGCCAGGAGAGAATTGAGAACATGCTGCTGGACCAGGCCCTGAAAGGATCACCCTTGCCATGATGTTGTTGGTACTTGTTTTCTACCTTTGCTACATGTACAATAGAATGATAATAGAATTGTTTATGATGATAAGGACTGCAGTGTAGTGTTACAGTTGCAGTCGCACGGTATCTAGCTATTATATCGTGGCTTACCAAGTTCAAAAGGTAGGATTTCGATTTTATTTATTCACGCCAACGATGCCTCTTTGTCTCGTTGTTGAAGCAGTTGGTGAGCCTCCTTAAGCAGCATGCTCTCGACGAGCTCCTGTGTTGCGGTAATGCTGGCCACCATGACGCTCAACACAAATTCAGTAAACTCCCCCGACGTGTTCACATCCAGCACGCAGCCTCGCACCATCTGCGGCGATATAAGGCAGCATATTTGCAGCAAAGTAGAGGCAGTTTGGCCTTGCTCGGGGAACTTTGGTCTCTTGACCACGACGTAACCCTTGTCGACGAATCCAAAGTTGGAGTACGCTGAAATTTGCTGCTCCACCGCCTCCGCCTTGGAAACCCAGACCACGACCTGCCGGTCTGGCTCCACATGCCGCTGAAGTGCCTGCTTCACGCGAAAGTCGGCATTTGTGGACTTCCCTGTAAACTTCATCGCAACCTCTTCCATAACGGTATCGGATTCGTCGGCCTAGTAATGCAAGGCGTGATAATAAACGTGGTGGTTAGAATAGATTTTTTTTCGCACAAAACTGCACCCAGCCTCACCGTACCAGCGTCAAATTCTGATTGAGGTTTCCACGACGGCGTTCTACGCCTCGATAGTGATTCCATGTCGCTGTGGCAGTTGTCTCGAAGTCGAAGGGGAGCAGTTTAGTGGCAAATATATCTAAGTACATGCCGCTCACGTCTTCTCGTATTCTCGCGTCGGTGCTAGGGGGTTCCACTCGATCCAAACCATTTGTGTCAAACACTGAGTCCAATTCCTCGAGCGCCGTGTTCAGTCCAATCCGCAGTGACTCAACCGTCTCTGTTTCCAATTCAAAGCTCGGGCCACGATCCAGGGCTGTTTTGCCGCTGAAATTACTAAAGGGGAGCGCCTGGCTCGTCAATTGATCACGAATACGCTTGCCCATCTGAGACTCCAGCCTCCGAGCAAGACTAGCCTGTGTGTCCAGAACCATGCGCAATCGGTTGTTCTCGCACGCGGCTCTCTCGCGCCAGCGCTGCTGGCGAGCAGCAATGTCCCAGGTTGGCGGTGCTGTGGGCGATGGTACAGGGAAGCCAAACATTTGGCTGGAGAACGCCAGAGTTGCGGCGGGAGGTGACGAGACCGGTAGGGGCACTAAATAATCCAGGTGCTGCAAGCGCAGTGTTCGTAGTTCCTCTTCCATCTGGTGCACTTTGTTGCGCATGAACTCCAGCTCATCGTAGCGGTCATTGCGTGCCCTGCGTCGACTTTTTCCGTGAGGCGATCGTGCAGCCTCCAGGGTCCACGAAAGCGACGCCATCATCTCCTGCAGCTCGTCATCGTCCTGACTGCCCCACTCACGTTCATCGGCATCGTCGTTGTCGAGCAGCAGCTGTGGTAACTCTGGAGGCTGCAGCTCCGTCGTCTCCATCGTTGCCAGGTCTCGGGGCATTATCGGAAGTTGAACTTCGGAATTCTGAAAAATATTCACAGTACCGTAGATGACAAAAAACAGACGTGTATGGGAGTTTGTATGGTACTACAGCCCTGGCCAAAAGGTAGACACCTACAGTATAACTTCCCACGCATCCGACGAAAAGGTAGACATACCTACAGTATAACTTCCCACGCATCCGATGACACTCAAATCAAAATACCAACACTCAAACTATTCTTCCACCACCCTAAAATATCATAAATCACTGCAATGCATGCATGAACCACCCAAGTTTCCCCGTATAGCACTTGTAACTCTAAATCCAATCAAAGGCATGTATTTCTTCAATTTCATCCAATTACAGTACGATATTTTAATAACTCTTCGAGCTGGATCCACTCGATAACTCGACCCCACCAGCAAACACCAAGCTTATCAAGCTTACGCCACCTCACCATGCCCGCTAGAGTTGCCTGGACTACAATTACCCCCACCATGCCTACCTGCGATGTCGAGCTGCTGCTCAAATCGCTGAAGACTTTTAAGGTGACCAAGAGCCATCTGGTCTCCCGTGGTCTGTGCAACCATTCTGCCCCTCACACAATGCGTGTCCGCTTGCTTGGGGTGTAACTGTCCTACTTGCGCTAGCGTCGAGCCCCAGGCCCATTGCTTTTGGCGGGACAAGACGCTAACATGCCAGAACCTCAACCTCTTGCGGGTGGAGGAAGGTGAGCACATCTCGCCTGCTCTGTCCCCCACACGGAACCGCCACACCGCGCCAATGAAGGCGGCGGCTCCGGAGTGAGCGGCTCAAGGGCTAAAACCTTCGAGAATTCGCTCGGGGGTTTTGCGGCGCTTCAACCTTGACGAAGACTCGCTACCCCCGCTTTCGGTGGTGCAGAGTTTTGTCCACAACTACGCATCCTCGCACCTACGGAACAACGACATTCTAGCGGCTGTGACGGCCACGATCCACGAAGTGGCATTTACCAATAACGAGGAAGGCGGTGAGGCCTTTACATTCGCCTGGGAAAACGATGCGGACGGACGCCCAATTATCGGCAATGGAAGTGACCACAAGCCGTTCATTATTGATATGACTACCAAAGTATTGCTCACACGTGTTGACCGTGACCCTGGCTCTTTCATTTTTCATATTGACGCAACTTACAAGCTCTGTCTCAAGTGGCCTGTCCCGTACTAGTTGTCGGGATTTCCGACAAAATGAGAAGTTTTAACCAGTTGCTATTCTCATTATGTCGCAGCTGATGCAGCTGCATCATGCTAGAGCTCTGTCTGCTCTTCGCAAGGTCTACCTGGCTGTCATGCAAAAGCCGCTAACAGTTTGTTATGAAATGTCGGATGCCGACAAAGCTCAACGCAACGCTGTGGACGAGGTATTCGGGGGG